AACCTTCTCTTTATTAAGCTTTTTGCTCTGTAATTCCAAAAGAAGAATTGACTGACTGCAAGGAATGCTCTCTCTACCACTGAAGAAATCTCTCTGAGCTCCTAGATAAATTACTTCCAAAAGTGATTAAGAAATGAAGAAGGCAGATTTTAATGTCCTTATAGGCTACACAACAGTTGTAAGCATAGATGGAATCCTGGGATTCTGAGCTGCTCAACTCCCAAGCCATCTTTCCATTTTTGCAGCTTAGCCTAGCAAGGAACATCCAGAATGCATGTAGTTTATCTCGTGATCTCCTTTTGATCCAGGGAGATTCTGCCATCCAAAATCTCTTTTCCAGCTGATGCTCTTAGCTGCAACACTTCTCCAGTCCTTTGAAGAGCATCACCAATCTGCCACAATTCTGCACCAGAAGTGCTTTAAATTTATTATCATCTAACCTTACCATTCTCTCCTTAGTAGGGCTGTGCAGACAAGAGATTCAAGGGCAAACTTTGCAATGAGACATACATAATAGAGTCTGCAAACCAAGCAGATTATTTCTTGTTTTACTTGGTGGATGAATAATATTAGGTAAAAACTATAGGTCCTCCAAAACCCCTTTTTGCTTTTTTTAATTTTATTAATATTAATAGCAAGCTCTGCATAGATTTTTTTAAAATATATACAATATATATACACTCCGCCAACAAAAGTGTGTATAGTCAAGGCTATGGTTTTCCCAGTTGCAATGTATGGCTGTGAAAGTTGGACCATAAGAAAGACTGAGCGCCCAAGAATTGAGGCCTTTGAACTATTGTGCTGGAGAAGACTCCTGCGAGTCCCTTGGAGTGCAAGGCGATCAAACCGGTCAGTCCTAGAGGAGAACAACCCTGGCTGCTCTTTAGAAGACCAGATCCTGAAGATGAAACTCAAATACTTTGGCCACTTAATGAGATGGAAGGACTCACTGGAGAAGAGCCTAATGCTGGAAAAGATTGAGGGCAAAAGAAGAAGAGGACAACAGAGAACGAGGTGGCTGGATGGAGTCCCTGAAGCAGTAGGCATGAGTTTAAATGGACTCCAGAGATGGTAGAGGACAGGAAGGCCCAGAGGAACGTTGTCGATGGGGTCGTGATGGGTCGGACACGACTTCGTTACTAACAACAACAATTATTGCCAGCTTGCAAAGCGGGTATTCCATTTTATTTATTTATTTTTTTGGTAAGCTTTCCATTCCCAAAAAATGAAGCTTTTTTGGGGGGGGGTTATCATACTGGTGATTTAGTGGTATTTGCTTCTTTATTTATTTATATTTATTGAACATTTTTCATTAAGTAAAAGACAAATCTAAAGAAAAAGGTAGAAAACAAAGAAAAAAGAAAAGAAAAAGTTATAGGAAATAAACTAAAGCTAAAAAAAATTGCTTTTGATCTTCTCATCAACAGATATTGACAAAGCCATTGTCCCACTCCCTATTATATCTTCCAGAAATCCTTTCAATCCCTTATTAAATTCTCATGTTTTTCAATCCATAAATCCTCATTTCACTTTTTAATAGTATTTGCTTCTTTATTCTTGCATAATAACTCTGTAGCAGAAGAAAGCCTCGTCTCAGAAGCAAGAGGAAATGGCTTCACAGGTGAGGTGATGATCCCTAATTTCTTCTCTTGTTCTCATATCATGGGGAATGTGTTCAGGATTCAAACATTTGCTTGACATTAGGAATGGGATGTCAATCATTTTTCAACTATTCAGGAACATTAATATGATTCTGAGTTAGTTTCCGTCTGTTTCTCTATAGACTATGTTTTGGAACTGCCTGTGCTGGTTTAAAACACCTCATGCCAAAAATGTTGAATTTAAACACAGTGGAGCCAATAGAAGTAATGGAATTACAATTGCAATGAAATAATGGAAACCAATGAATACATTATAATGATATAGAATAATTTTTCCTTTTCAAAAGTCAGTGGTGGATTGCTACCGGTTTGCCCCGGTTTGGGTGAACCAGTAGCAGTGGCGGCAGGAGACTCCGCCCACTCGCCTGAACGTCATCAAATATGCTCTGCGCGTGCGTGAGCAAACCGGTAGCAAAGGTAAATGAAACCCACCACTGAGTCACTCTGTATATTGATGAAAATGTATAAACTGTCAGCTTTGGAAACCGTATTAGGCCAGAAGCTTCAACGTTGCCACCTTTTCATGTGTGGGAAAGTAGGAGGGGGGATTAAGGAGAGGGGGTTGTTAGTAGACATAATAGCATTCTTCCTGTCGGTCAAGGTCAGGGCGGCCCAACATCTGGAGAAGGAGTGGTCAGGGGGCTGAGACGAGATGGGACGGTCGTTGATTGGATCATGTGATCGACTGAGGAGTGAAGGGATGGTTTTGGGGGTTTTGACTTACTGAGGGAAAACCCGGGCTTTTCAGATTCGGGTTTTCCCAGATGTGCCAGTTTACCTATTCTAGAACTTTGGAAAATGCTTGATTCTGCGTCTTTACTCGGAGTTGGGTTTTCTGGAACACTGACATAAACAGTCAAAGAAGATTTACAATGGACAGTTGTAGTGGTCTATGCCCCCCCCCCAAGTTGGCCTACCATGTACTGTTGTCTTTGTCCACACAGTAAGAACTAAAATATCAGCTGAACGTAATTCTGATTTTTACTTGTTTAGTGTAATTTTTTAACTAATGAAAAACTTCTGATAAGTATTTCTTGTCTAGTCAATAAAAGCACACATGCTTTATGTTAGTACATATGGGAAAAATTCTGTAAGTCAAAAGGTTATCTTTTAGCCTTGAGGAAAATGGTGGTTTTGAATATTCTGTGGGTTCACTATCAATGTTTCCAAAGCCTGTATTAAAGGACTACATTAATATACTATTTTTATTCTAAGTTTAGCTTGCATAGGAGCTTCACTCATAAACATTTGCTTTTCTTCTTCAGGAAGGTAATGCATACTGAGGGCACTGATTAACCTCCTCAGTGCTTTCAGTAAATTAAAGATGGAAAAATCTTTCAATATACCATTCATTTATTTGTAGTATTTAAATGGAACCACACTGCTTTTATTTGGTATAATAAAATATCATTGTCTGTATTAACTGGGTTCGATATAAGTGGTTTGTCTCTCAGATGTATTATAGTTCATTTCATATTTAGTGATGTAGTAATAGCTTATATTGTACGTTGAGGTCAAGTACTGATATTGATCCTTTAAAATATAAATATTATTATTAATTACACATAGTCTAGGGCAACTAACCTGACCCATATCAGAACGTACAATGTGCTATTAGAACATAACATAGAGATTGACATCAACAATAAGAAGCACTTTCAAAGATAAATAAACAAACAAACATAATATTCCATTTTTTAAATCTAGAATTAATTTAAGTTTACTTTTCACAATAGGCTATCAGATTAAGAGAAGATAAATAATAAATAAAGAATTAAAAGAATAATAAATCATAGAATGGGAATGTTATATGATGCCTAAGGTTAATTGCAGTAGTGGGTTGCTACCGGTTCACCCCAGATCAGGCAAACTGGTAGCGGCAGCGGCAGGAGGCTCCGCCCACCCGCCCGGATGCTTCTGCGCACGCATGCATGACCAAACCAGTAGCAAACTAAATTGAAACCCATTACTGGTTTATTGGTATATTTTTAGTTTGACTATGATCACAGCCATGTTTCTATGCTTCTACTGAAGCAAATAGGCTTCAGTGATAAAAATATACTGCTCAAAAAAATAAAGGGAACACAAGCAGAAGACATCCGAGATCTGAATGAATGAAATAGCCTTATTAAATACTTTGTTCTTTACATACAGTAGTTTATACACTGCTCAAACAACTAAAGGGAACACAAAACTACTGTATGTAACGAACAAAGTATTTAATAAGGCTATTTCATTCATTCAGATCTCGGATGTCTTCTGCTTGTGTTCCCTTTATTTTTTTGAGCAATGTATATACAGTATTCCCATTTAGCCTTTATAACTGTGTGGATCTGTGCCATTAAATTTATGTGTGTTTTTATCAGATTATGAAGAAATCATGGTAAGTTTGTATTAGTCCAGTGTTTTCCTCTCATCTGTAAATTATCTAATGCTCAGTTTTTCCTTAATCCGCTTTCTAATTTCTACTCCTTGTCTTTTTCCCCTTATTTTGTTCATTACTGACACTTAATTATGCAAAGAGACGCAAAGTTTGGCCATATTATGACCTTGCTTGCCACAGTTGTTAAGTGAATCACTGCGGTTGTTACCTTAGTAACATAGTTGTTAAGTGAATCTGGCTTCCCATTGACTTTGTTTAACAGAAGTTCTCAAAAGGTGATCATATGATCCTGGGATGCTACAACCATCATAAATATAAATCAGTTGCCAAGTGCCTGAATTTTAATCACATGATCATAGGAATGCTGCAATGGACGTAAGTGTGAAAAATGGTCATAAGGCAGTTTTTTCAGTGCCATTGTAAGTTTGAACAATCACTAAATGAACTGTTGTAAGTCGTAGACTACCTGTAAGCAAAATATTGTACTGGTCTGTTGGGAAGAAGACATTTTTAGTAGTTGATGCCATACAGAGAGAAAGCCAAAGCAGTTCACCAACACTAACAATATCTTTCAGTATTTAATTTAATTTAATTAATTCAATTTATATGCCGCCCCTCTCTGAAGACTCAGGGCGGCTCACAAAACATTTTAAAAAATCATTATAAAAAAACATTTAAAAATTAAAAACATTAAAAACATTAAAAACTCATTCACACCATTCATGGCCGGATCTCGCCCGATCACAAGAGTGAGATCAGTGGCCCCAGGCCTGCCGGAAAAGCCAGGTCTTCACCGCTTTTCGGAAGGCCAATAGGGTGGAGATGATCTGGACCTCAGGAGGTAACTGGTTCCAGAGAGCTGGGGCAGCCACAGAGAAGGCCCTCCCCCGTGGACCCACCAGCCAGCATTGTTTAGCTGACGCGACCCGGACAAGACCAACTCTGTGGGATCTTACCGGTCGCTGGGAGCTATGCAGCAGAAGGCGGTCTCGAAGATAACCTGGTCCTGAGCCATGCAGCAGTAGATACCTCTGAAAAAGAAAATTGAGTCGTGCTGTTGTGCATTTTAATACATTGGTTGCATTCATTTTACTTTTCTTTGCATGTGTTTATTTAGCTGTATAACCCACGTGTATAAGCTCATTGCATTTATTGAATTATTGTTTTAAATTGCATGCTCTTCTAGAGTTTGATACTGAAAGGCATGTCATAAATTCTTAAAGTTTACTTGTTATACATACCAATCTCTGGTTTGCATCATTTATGAAGCTTGCAGTACTGAAGTAATGATAGAGTAAGAATGCTGAAAATAATTGCCTTAATTTGAGGCATGTCCTGAGTAAGTGAATATATTATATGTGTTTTTTTACTTGTAGTTGGTAAGATGAGAGGTTCTGAATATGGGATAACCAGGTGTTAGTAGTTACAAATTTTGGCCTTTAGAAAAAAGGACATGGTATAAAGGGAAAATAGTAAAAGAAATTAGAATAGTTGGATTAAAATGAAACGATACAGAAAAGAATGATTGGGTAGTTTGGAGATACAAAAATGAATGAGAATGGCAAATGTTTGATGAATATCAGCTTAGAAAAAAAGAATGCTTTCTAAGACACCCTTTTGTTCTTTCTTAGATTTATATCCTGCCTTTCATTTGGGAGCTCAAAGTAGCATCCATAGTGTGCCTAAGAAAGAGTGACACTGAGTGACTCAGTGAGTCTCTTTGCATACACATGACCAAATTTTTTTTAAACAAAAAAGCAAAGCTATTTGACTTTATTATAAGAAATGGAAAGAATTAGTGAACGATACTAGATTTGTGACTGTGGGGGAGATGCAGTGGTGTGGAGGCTTAATGGCGCTGGATGTGCTGAGCAATTGCCAGCACTCTGTTGGTTTGAGTCTAGCTCTGCGGGACGGGGTGAGCTCCCGTCTCTTGTTCCTAGTTCTTGCCCACCTAGCAGTTCATTGTTTGTGAATAGTTAGATAGGTACTGCCATTTTGGTGATGGGAAACTGCTGGCGGCATTCTGTATGGGGAGCTGGAACTGATGCTGAATCTGCCCAGACATGATCGGTGGAGGAGCAGAGGAGGAAAATCCTGGATGAGGTGACTTCCTCTGAGAGTACTGCAAACCAAATGGTGTGAAGCTATTTCTCCCTCTTGTGGTGCACCTGTACAACACCAGTGGACTAGCAACTGCCGGGACTACTGCCGGGACTACTACTATGTGCATAACATTGTAATTTCCCAAACTGAGAATGCCAGACTGACTGACTGACTGACTGACTGAATGAATGAATAATATCCTGTATGGAACAATATTAGATGGTAGATAGATCTCCCAAAAGAGTTGAATGGAAAGTGAATAGAAGGAGATAGAATATGGAAGGTATTTTGAACTGAGTGAAAAAAATATCTAACAGTATGCCACAGAAATGCAAAGAATTACAGTGATACAAAATATGAGGAAGAAAGGTGTAATGATGAAGTGAAAGAGGCTGTAGATGAGTAAAATGTGCTTATAAGAGAATATTACTGAACAAAATTGGGTTGAAAGGTATGGTATAATAAGTATATGAAAAAAAAATGCAAAGAATATGGTCTGAAAGAGTGAGGAACTGTTAAGATGAAATGAATCAGTGAAAATGCAGAACAATTTTAATGGAAATAAAATGGTTTTGAAGTGGATAAAAAGGCTAAATAATGTGAATGGAATTAAGAATAAAAGTGAAATGATTTGGAATGGAATACAGGTAATCCTTGATTTACAACAGTTCACTGAGTAACCATTTGAAATTACAACAGCAATGAATGTTTTCACCCAATTGTTGCAGCATCCCCATTTGGGCTCAATTGTGAACATAAGTCGAGGATTACCTGTATTGGAAGAAGTATTTTAGAGGTTTCTATGGGAATGATAGAATTATATCAAAGATTTGGACTGAAATATAAGCTTTCATATTAGAACCCAAGGAGAAAAACCTAATGTTAAAGAAGTTGGAACATCAAAAGCTACCCGTGTAGATAATGTAGCTAGAGAAATGTTAAAATATGTATGTGGGTTGTCTAAGGGTTGTTGTGGTATTTGTTTAATATAGGTGAAAAGAAAACATCCATTCCTGATTATTTGAAGAATGTCATTACTATTTCCGTAAGCAAAGGACAAGCCGAAAGAGCGGATGCAATGTTTGCAATGAGATAATTTCCCTGGGAAGACTTTTGGCTGACTTCTGATTGGAAGAGTGAATGGGTAGAAAGAAAGAGGAAGGGAAATTGAGAATGCTGCGGTTGGATAAAATTGAAGAGATCCTCAAAAAGGCAGCAGTGAGAGACATTTTAAAAACACAGTGCATGAAACAATGTATATATGTGGTAGAAACAAGGATTGTTTCTAAGGGTAGGAAAATATTGAGAAGCATAACGAATAGCATTGGATCAGATTACTCATAGCTATTTTACCTTTTTCTTATCTCATGAAATTAATATCTTTAGTTTACTAGTTCTTCTTTTGTATAGTCTGAATAAAGTTTAGCCTAAAAGGGCATTCCATGGTGGGCAAGAATGTTTCAATATATACCCACTGAAGAATCATAGAAAAAAATGTTTAAAAATGAATACATAAAATATCCAGAATTAAGTTTCTCCCTGAATTCACTCACCAGGGTTCTCCTGCCTAATGCTTTGCTTGTAATGGCCCATTTTATAGTTTATATGAAAGGCAAAAGGCTTATCCTCACATTCCACTTTACTGTGACCCAAGGCTGCCTGGATAAACACTTCTAAAGAATATATCCTTATGGTGTCACTCCTATCTCACTCTCAACCTGCTATTGAGACAATCCTGAGCGTTACCTTGTTGTTCCATTCTTAAAGTGAGGTCTTCTCTTGGCACAAGTTAGACTAAAGAAGAGAAGGCAAAGGAGAGAGGATATACAGGAACAGGAACAGGAACAGGAACAGTCTTCCAATACTTGAAAGCCTGTCAGAGGGAAGAGGGTGTGGATTTATTAAAATAAAAACTAATGTGTTTTTATTTTACAGAATCATTGCATCCATTATTGCCCCCAACTCACGATGGGTTCTTTTTAAACAGATACCCAATTAGACTGACCCAGACTCAAAAAAAGACACAAAAGCACTAGGTTCTGGACCAGGTAGTTTCTTTTATATCTCCCTTTAAAGGATGGGGAAACTTTTGATTTTATAAAACAAAGGGATCTATAAAACATACATGCATGCATAAACAGTAGTGGCCAAAATTGTGGAAACGCTTTGGGAAAAGTGTATTTTTGAAAACTAGCTAATAGCACCACTATTTTTTTTTTTGGAGTAGTACCATAAAATTACATATCAATGGAAAGATAATTTAACCAAGAACATAATGCAATAAATTTTATGAAGGATTTGCTATTAGAATAGCAGTTACAGTATAAAGAAGAAAAGTGAAACACGAAGAAAAAACGAGATATACAAAAATTATCACCATAGAAAAAACAAGATACACAAAAATTATCATATCAGTTAATACTTAGTTGGGTAACCTTTAGCATGAATTACAGCCTTACAATGTCTTCCCATAGTGTGAACCAAGTCTTTTAGTTCTGCAGCTGTTATAATGTGAAACCAAGATTGAATGATTGCTTCTGTTAACTGGGTTTTATTGCTGGGTCGCTTCTGACTAGCAAGTTTCTTTAGTCGGCTCCATAGATTTTCAATTGGGTTAAGGTCTGGGCTATTCCCAGGCCATTCCAGCAGTGGAATATGATTATCCTGAAACTCCAAAAAAAAGTGGTGTTATTAGCCATCAAGCCTCAAAAATACACTTTTCCCAAAAGGTTTCCACAATTTTGGCCACTGCTGTATACATACATACATAATGTGAGTAATTCCTATTATGCCTATACTAGATTCTATTCTATTTTTTATTCTGTTACAATTATACAATTGTATAATCTCTATAATATAGTTATATGCTTCAATATTGTTCTCTATTGATATCTATTATACATCGCTGTGTTCTCCTTACATAGCGTGTTCTATCTTTTTTTTCTCTGAGATTTCTTCTACTTTTTTCTTCTCTGTTGTCACTTTTTACAGCCAGTGGGTAGAGCTCTTGTACCTTTCCAAGTTGTGTTTTTTCTTGCTTGGCCTCTATACTTTTATTTTCTATGTACAGTCCACTCCCTCTGAAAGAAAAAACAAAAACCCACACCTGTCATTTTACTGCTGCACTGCTCTGTTAGCTGGTGCCTGTAGAGCTTCAAAAACATATGTCTCCTCTTGCCTTCTCCTCCCACACCTATGTCAAGGTTGCTGTTTTATTGGCAATTTTGTTATGCTGACACTGAGGGAAAGTCTCAAATGAGAAGGTAAGGTAGAAGCATAGGTGCCTTCAGCCTGCTCTACACACACACACAAGCACACAGAGGGAGGGAGGGAAGGAGGGAGGGAGGGAGGGAAAGAGAGAGAGAGAGAGAGAGAGAGGGAGGGAGGGAGGGAGGGAGGGAGAGAGAGAGAGAGAGAGAGAGAGAGAGAGAGAGAGAGAGAGAGAGAGAGAGAGAGAGAGAGATCCTGTAAATGCTTTCAGTTAATAGGGGCAGAAGAACTAGCTACAGCTAGATCATGGGAGATATTTTATGTAAAAAATAATAAAATTGTCATTCTAGCTCCATTTTGTATCCTCATTTCTTTGCAGAATTTCAATCCCAATCCAGTATTTGCTGAATTTCATTGCTCCTTCTGTGATTCCATTTTTCCATTAAAGTTCTACTGTTACTTACAGCATACTTGTTGATGTATGAAATGTCTATGAGTTTTGGAGTTTTGGCACAACAATCATCCATTAATAATATTTTAAACTATATCAAATGAGATATTATTAATATGAAATAAGATGTTATTATCAAATAGGAGCTTCCCTGTGATAAGATGGGCAGCCAATAAATTTAATGAATGAATACATAAATCCAGTTCCATGAACCTTCTTAGACTAGCCTGAATTCATAGTTGACATGGCAGGTTTACTAAGAAAAGAAATGAAGAAAAATAATTACTATTCTAGGAATACCGTCTTCCACTTAATGAGTGAAAGGCCATGTAAAGAAGCTTTAGAAAGCTTATATTTTGGGCTCAAGTAAAAAAGATATCATCCATATATAATATCATCTATAATGCAAGCTTGCCTACAGAAATAGTTGGCCTGACCATAATAGTAACTTTTGTGGTAGACAAAAACATTGCAAATGAGATTGTGGTATTAATGCGGAACCAAAACATCTTTTGATGAGAAAGATCAAAATAAGAATTGACAGAGAAAGTATATTCATCTTTCTCAGCCTCTGTAATGGACCAAAGGTATATCTTCAATAACATGCTCCTAATTAATTGTAAATTTGGAAGTTTTTTTCTTACCACATGGGTAAGCAATCTCATAGAATAATATAATGGTTGTCAATTATTCTTTTATGTTCACAATCCCCTATATTGCTCTGTAGGTCAGTGAGAAGCCACAAAAGGTGAAAGTTGTTCAATACTCATAGCCTAAGGTCTGCAGAAATTTCCATAATATAAAAATGGATTCTACTGGGACGAGTAAGCCAAGCTACAGATTCCTCCAGGCTGCTGGGTATTAGGTTGCCATGTGTGCTGCTAAGGATTGTCTTTTTTTCAAAAGAGGATTTTCTTAGAGGAAAAATAAACACAATCTTTATTACAACAAAGTCTTTACATAAAACTTCAGCTATAAAACTGGACATTTTTACCGGAGAATAGAGTTGCATGCTGGAAGACAGCTATGAAGTTTACATATAATATACTCGTTAGAAATAACAGTACAATAGACATTAAAGCACTATTTCAAGATTTAACGTGAGAAAAGCCTCAGATTTTATATAAACAGAATTAAATTCCTAATGCCTATCTTTGACTTATGTATTTCTAGACATTATATATTATTATTTTCAGGCCTGAGAAGTGGGGCCAAATCCTAAATGGTTAACAATATATTTAAAACCATTCATTTTAACAAGGATGTATATTAAAATCTCATAAAGCCAGCATGAATGAGATAAAAACACATCTTGTACCAATGGTGAGTAAAAGGCTGAGAGTATGAAAAGGATAGCAAAGTTAGCAATGCAAGACCTTTGTGGAAAGATTTATCTTGGTCATAACCCATCTTAACTCCAAGGGAATCATCAGAAGACACCTGGATTCAAGAAGATGCACATGGGAAAACTGGATTTCTAATAAAAGACATCAATTGTCACTATTCCTCAGGGTGGACTTTCTACAATATAAGGTTCAGGGCAAGTATACTTCTACCTTCCCTTTGTTGCCACTGTTATGCTAACACTGTTTAACCTACAAAGATTGTTTCTTTCAATATTTTACCTGCTCTAATTTATTAGAATGCTCTATTAGGACTAACATTCTAACTTGTTTGATATCTTTCATTATCAGGGATGAATAATTCCTGACAATGAAAAATGAATAATATGAATAACAGCATTTATGCATTGGTAATATTATTGGAGGTCTAAATAGGAGAAATTTAATGGATATAGGAAGATACCCTAATGGTCTTGGCAATCTCACCATGTATCTCATTTATTTATTATTCAAATTATTTATTATTTATTATTCAAATTTCTATACCGCCCTTCTCCTTTCGGACTCAGGGCGGTGAACAGCCAAGATAAAAGCATCTATACAAACATCACAGTTAAAAATAAAGTTAAAATAATTTATAAATTTGGCCCATAATTTAAAACTTGTCAATTAAAATCAATATTAAAATTTTAAAACTAATCCTAAAATCAAGACAGACCGGCTAACTGAAAAAAATAAGTTTTTAGGGCCCGACGAAAAATCCGGAGGTCGGAAATCACTCGTATCTCTGTGGGTAGATTGTTCCATAGGGTAGGTGCCACCACAGAGAAGGCTCTCCTCCTGGGGGTCGTCAGCTGGCATTGTCTGGCCGACGGCACCCTGAGGAGGCCCTCTCTGTGGGAGTGAACCGGCCGGTGGGAGGCTATTGGTGGCAGAAGGCGGTCCCGTAAGTACCCTGGCCCTAAGCCATGGAGCGCTTTAAAGGTGATCACCAACACCTTGAAGCGCACCCGGAAGTCCACCGGAAGCCAATGCAGCTCACGCAGGAGAGGAGTCACATGGGAGCGCCCCGTCGCTCCCATAATCCCCCGCGCAGCCGCATTCTGCACCAGTTGGAGCCTCCGGGTGTACCCCAAGGGGAGCCCCATGTAGAGAGCGTTACAATAGTCCAGACGAGAAGTGACGAGTGCTTGAGTGACCATGCGTAGGGAGTCCCGGTCCAGAAAGGGGCGCAACTGGCGTATCAGGTGAACCTGACAAAAAGCCCCCCTGGCCACGGCTGTCATATGCCCTTCTAAAGACAGCCGCGCATCCAGGAGGACGCCCAAGTTGCGGGCCCTCTCCGTGGGGGCCAATGATTCACCCCCAATAATCAGTGATGGCATCAGCTGGCTATACCGGGACGCCGGCAGCCACAGCCACTCGGTCTTGGAAGGGTTGAGTCGAAGCCTGTTTCTCCCCATCCAGACCCGCACGGCCTCCAGGCACTGGGACATCACTTCCAAGGCATCATTGGGATGGTCTGGGGTGGAAATGTACAGCTGAGTATCATCAGCGTACTGATGGAACTCCACCCCAAAACCACGGATGATCTCACCCAGCAGCTTCACATAAATGTTGAACAGGAGGGGCGAGAGGACCGACCCTTGTGGCACCCCACAAACAAGGCACCTTGGGGTCGACCGCTGCCCCCCTGTCAACACGGATTGCGACCGGTTGGAGAGATAGGAGGAGAACCACCGCAAAACGGTGCCCCCCACTCCCAGTCCCTCCAGCCGGCGCAACATGATACCATGGTCGATAGTATCAAAAGCCGCTGAGAGGTCTAATAGGACCAGGATAGAGGAATAAGCCCTATCCCGGGCCCTCCAGAGATCATCCACCAACGCGACCAATGCCGTTTCCGTGCTGTACCCAGGTCTGAAGCCGGACTGGAGTGGATCCAGATAGACAGCTTCATCCAGATACTGGGGAAGCTGTCGCGCCACCACACTCTCAACAACCTTCGCAATAAAGCGAAAGTTGGAGACTGGACGGTAGTTAGTCAATACTGGAATACTGAATTCAGTTTTGGTCGCCACGATGTAAAGAAGATGTGGAGACTCTAGAAAGAGTGCAGAGAAGAGCAACAAAGATGATTAGGGGACTGACTGCTAAAACATATGAAGAACGGTTGCAGGAACTGGGTATGTCTAGTTTAATGAAAAGAAGGACTAGGGGAGACATGATAGCACTGTTCCAATATCTCAGGGGTTGCCACAAAGAAGAGGGAGTCAAACTATTCTCCAAAGCACCTGAGGGTAGAACAAGAAGCAATGGGTGAAAACTAATCAAAGAGAGAAGCAACTTAGAACTAAGGAGAAATTTCTTGACAGTTAGAACAATTAATCAGTGGAACAACTTGCCTGCAGAACTTGTGAATGCTCCAACACTGGAAATTTTTAAGAAGATGTTGGATAACCATTTGTCTGAAGTGGTGTAGGGTTTCCTGCCTAAGCAGGGGGTTGGACTAGAAGACCTACAGGGTCCCTTCCAACTCTGTTATTCTATTCTATTCTATTTCTATGGGTGTTCTTTTCTCAGAAAATGGCTGAAAAGGGCAGAAACTGGCAAAGAAATTGTAATTTTGCTCACAACAAAATACCTGATGCCACCAGACTTGAAATTTGGGGCTTAGAAAATTTAGAACTACACCACCTTCGGTATGACCTAAGCATAGCTCATAAAATCATCTGTTACAATGTCCTAACTGTCAATGACTACTTCAGCTTCAACCACAATGATACATGAGTACACAACAGATACAAACTTAAAGTGAACCGCTCCAAACTCGATTGTAGAAAATACGACTTCAGCAACAGAGTGGTCAATGTCTGGAATGCACTACCTGACTCTGTGGTTTCATCCCAAAATCCCCAAAATTTTAACCTTAAACTGGCTAGTGTTGACCTCACCCCATTCCTAAGAAGTCTATAAGGGGTGTGCATAAGAGCACCAGCGTGCCTACCGTCCCTGTCCTAATGTTCCTGCCAGGTTTTGACAGATTATTTGT